ATTGAAAGAATTTGTTCCTGAAAAAAATGTATTCAAATTTTGTAAATAAAAAGAAGTATAAAAAATAATATGTGATGCACTGAACACCAATGACCAAATACTAGATGAGTTGTGGCACGATACCAAGGACATCACCCCTGAAGAAAGGTCATTAAAAGGAAATAAACATTTCATCTTGCTGTGTTGCTTTCTAGGCAGAACTTGCTTAAACTGACACCTTAAGCATGAACAGTCCACCATCCTCTACTGCTAGAGACCATGCCTCCAGGGGCAGCTCCCACAGAGTCTATATATTATGTCTTGTTGTGGCCAGGTCATTCCCCCTTGAAAGCCTTTCCTTTCTAATAAATTGTCTACTAGTCCTTGGAGGGGGCGTGGGGGGGAATCATGCTTGGGAAGGTGGTGGGTCAGTAAAAAAGAAGACCCTTGAGGTGGATTGACTTGTAACAATGGGCTTGAGTATATCAGATATAAGATGGTACAGGACAGGGGAAGGTTCAGGTCTGTTGTTCACAGGGTCACTCTGAGTCATAGCCATTGGATGGCACCTAATAACAACACAAAAGATAGGGAGCTCTGGTGGCCTAGTCATAAGGAAATACACTTCCAACTTGAAGGCATGTGGGTTGATTCTACCAGCGTTCCGTGGCAGAAAGGCTATCTCCTCCGGTGAGATTCACTCCTTCTGAAAACCCATTGGAGGGTCTGCTATGAATCAGTTCTAACTAGAAGGTACACAACAATCCAAAAGATAGTTTGTATCACATACTTTGGGCCCATTGTCAGGAGGGGCCAGGCCTTTGAAAAAGGCATCAAGCTGGGAATGGTACATCTTTCATGCTGGGAAAGGGAAGGAAGATCGTCAACAAGGTATCTTTTGGTGACTGTAACAATGGGCTGGAGCCTGTCAGAGCTGGTGAGGATGGCTTAGGATAGGGCAGGGTTAAGGTGTGTTTATAGGGTCAGCTATGAGTCTGGGCCCTTGTAGAGTGTGACCATGTTCACTTGTCCCATATTTGCCATTGCTGCTGGGGAGAGCTCTGGTAGCCTAGTCCCATAGGAATAGTGCTGTCAACTTTGAATTGGTGCCTTTCTGGCGTGTCTAGTCCACCAGCCACTCCCTGGGAAGAAAGATGAGCAATCTCCTTCCCTGCTATTTATAGCCTCAGAAAGCCCTTGGGAGGATCAGCTATGAGCTAGCTAATTCTGACTTGTGGCAATGAGTGAACTGAGTCTGGGAACAGGCATAAAAATAGCAAGCATAATCTTAGACCTAGCGGCATCTCCAGGAGCCCACTCGCTGGTTGAGGGCCACCCTAGTCCCCAGACCGCAGCCTTCACTATGAACAGGATAGGAAGCACTACATAGGCAGCTCTGGGGCCCCAACCTGGGGCTTAACTTCTGAGTCACACTTAACCATCTTCTTCCTCCTTTTTTCTCGGAAACTCTCTGAAAGTGACAGGTTCTCAACCTTCACCATTGTAGACACTTTAAAGGAAGTCCTTGAACAAGTTTTCCAAGTCAGGAGGGCACTTAGCAATTTACCTATTTCTTACTCAGTTTTCCTGAGTGTTTGGCTTCCACCCAACCCCCAAGTTTCAATGCTGTTGTCTTCTGTGTTTATATCAAAGGTGTGAAGTTGGGAGGGGGGAGTTGAGAAGGGAGGGTTGGAGGCGGATGTGGGGGGAAGGGTGGGGGAAGGGCGGAAGGGGGAGTAGGGAAGGGCAGAAACGGAGGGGGGAGAAAGGGGAAGGGAGAGGGAAGGGGAAGAGGAGAAAAGGGTTTGGGGGAGAGAGTGGTGGCAGGAGTAGAGGGTGTTAGGGGTAGAGGGTGGTGTGTGACAAGGAGGGGCAGGTGAGGGGAGCAGGGGAGTGGGGGGTGAATGGTGGGTGAAGGGGGTCGGGGGTGGCCCTGGGGGCTCCTTCAGCTCATTGCAGCTTCCGGAGGAGCCTTCTCCCTAGCACTCGTTGGGCATCGTAAGCGGTTATCCAAGAATGAACACACAGGCAGTGAACACAGGGACACAAGGTCCTCGGGTGGGTTGGAGACACTGCATGTACAGGAGCAATGCAGTTATCTTCTGCAACGCGTTTGTGGGAGCGGGAACATGACGGTAGCGAGTAGGAACTGGCCGGGGGGGGGCGGGCGAAAACACTCCTGAGGGGTGGGAGCGCGCCCGGGGGGACGGGAACGCGCCAGGGGGCGGGGACGTGCCAGTTGGCAACGCCCCTGTGGGAACAGGCCTGATCGGGCGAAGACGTGACTGTGGGGGACTGGGGCGTGCCAAGGGGCGGGGGCGGCTGTGGGGGACAGTGAGGACAGGGGCGGGAAGGGCGTGGCCTCGCGGGCTGGGCGAATCAGAGCGGGCCATGCGATGTCTCGGGTCCTGACGAACGAGTGGGGCAGTGCAGAGAGGCAGAGCCCACGCAGTGCAGCTGCGCAGTGCAGAGAACGCCCTCCGGCGGAGCGCTGGTGCAGAGCCTGTGCTCGCCTGAATTGAGAGTCCGCCGGGGGAGGCCCTGCGCCGAGGCGGCACGCCCCGCCCACGCCCTTCCGGGTCTCCCCTTTCAGCTGGTGCTCTCCCAGCACTGCGGGCTTTTTGGTGTTCTGAGCACCCTTCGCCTCGTTCTGGTCAGCATCAGCGATCTGCTGGCCTCTTCTTCGGGGTCACTTTTACCTTCGTGTCCTGCCGAGATCAGCTGGGCCTGAATTCCGTGCGGGTCTGGTTCAGCAACGCCCTCTCGGTGAGTGGGGCCGGGAAGGGCAGCGTTCTCCGCCCAGGGTCCCCCAGCGTCCTTGACCCCAAGCTGCACGCCTGTCTTCTTCCTTATTTCTTCACATTCATTCTGATCACATCTTGTACCCCCGTGTCGACCCTGGTCCCCGGCCGCCGTCCGTCACGGCACACCCGTGTCTTAACCCTGGCGCCTCTTGTAACCGAGTCAGCCAGTGGTACATCTCGTCTCTGCTTTCACACCCGGCCACTAAACGATGACTTTGGAGGTTTGAGTGAAAAGATTCAAGGAAAAGGATGATTACTTCCTCAGATTAAGAGATAAAATTGTTTTTGGCCATCAGCAGTTTTTAATAAACCTATGGATCTTCCTAGGACGCGAGCCACTTTCATTGGAAGAACTGTTTAATCTAAGGTAGTTGTTTTGTAGAGTCGGAACCGACCCATAGCTGACCCTCCAGCGGGTTTACAGAGGCAGTTAATGCAAGAGGAGGAGATTGCCCATCCTTTTCCCGCTGAGTCTCTGGTTGCTTCGAACCAGCTTCCTTCGGGGTTGCAGCTTAGCTTCTTGCCACTAGGCCCAGAGCTCCCTAATCTAAGTTTAAGAGAGAAGTTATTTTTGGGTGTGCTCTGGCAATTTTATTTAAACAATTTGAAATAGAATTTTATTTCAATTTTAAATAGAAATTAGTCTTTCCCCCCCTCCCAGATATTAAAGTGTTTTTCTACCCCAAACTCAGTGTATGATTGCTTTTTATGTTGGCAGGTTTCACGGAACAAAATCTTTGTAATATCAAAACTATCATTTTGTTCACCAATGAACCTGATTCTAGTTCATTATAATCAGAAAAAGAGGCATTCCTCTCTCTGCATGTCACTAAGCCAGTTGAGAAGAGAAAGGGATTAAATCTTTTCAGTGTGCTTTATTTGGATGCTGGCAATCTGAGAGATAAATGGGTGGCATGGATGCCTTAAAGATATCTATCTGATATCTCAGGATGAAGCCAGGCCTTTTTTTTAAATTAAATTTTATTAATTTTTATGAACATTTACAGAGATTTGGGGTTTCTATTCATTAATTGTTGCACTATTTTCTCTACCCACCTCCCCAGTTCGTTCCTCTTTTTACCCCCCTTGAAAGTCTGTTTTAATTGCCCCACTGCCACAGTGCTTGTCAAAGCCAGTTCTGATTAATCTCTTTTGTCAGTATGTCCTTTGCCATTCCCTATCACTCCTCCCTGAGAGAGACTTCACCCTGATTCATAAGGAAAAGGGGATGGCGTATTCTCTTACCTACTTCCTGCAGAAAAGGGACGCTTGTAGTTTCAGGGTGTAGATCTCACTACTCTAAGGGGCCCCTTTGGCAATAGGAATCACAGACTATTGTGGAGATTGATTTTGGAATTTAGATGCACTGTTAAAGGGACTAAGTAGGGGAAAGGAATGTGGGAAGGGACTCCCGGGGAAGTGTCCAGGTGTCTGATACGTGGTTCATTCTGCGATGGTCTTTTCCAGTGACGGTTGTCAGATGTCCTGAGTTTGATACTTGAGCTGTATAGTCAACAAGCTTCTTTGCTGAGGATGCATTCTTCAGGCAGTTTCTCAGGCTTTTTTTTTATGTAAAAGTATCTTGGTCCTAAGTCCTTAGTTCTTGGAATAACAATGTCTCAGCTAGTTAATTATCAGGATAATGAATTTTACATAGGCAGTTTTTATTATCATCTTAATCTTGGGAAGCTATTTTACTATCACCCTAATAACTAAGCCTTAGTTTCTTTCACCATCAATATTTGTTATCCATTTTTAGGTATTTTGAAGGAAACAAGAAAATGACATTGTTGTTGTCAGGTACTGTCAAGTACAACTCATAGCAACCCTGTGAAAACAGATCTGAACTCTCTCCTGTCCTGTCCCATCTTCCTCATCTCTGATGCACTTGAGCCCAAGCTGCAGTCACTGTGTCAGTCATCTCACTGAGGGTCTTTTCATTCACCCTCCACCTTTCTATATACGGTGCTCCTCTCCAAAGAACAGCCTCATTGCATTCATTCATCTAAAGAATTTAAATAATCTAATAAAAATAATTCTAATATTCTTCTCCATATTCACTCCACAGGACCTGCAACCTTAATGCTTCTGGGATGAACTGGAATAGCTCAAGGAGAGATTTTATTTCTGCCAAGTCACACTTCAGCTGAGTTCTCAACCTAAAGTCATGCACATTTCTTTCATCAGTCATTCTCAACAGTTGCTTTACTCACCAGGATGGCAGACAGTCTTCCAGAAGACTTTGATGTGGTTGTGATAGGTACGGGTTTGCCTGAATCCATCTTTGCAGCTGCATGTTCAAGAAATGGCCAGAGGGTTTTGCATGTTGATTCCCGGAGTTACTATGGAGGAAACTGGGCTAGCTTCAGCTTTCCAGGGCTGCTGTCCTGGTTAGAGGAATATCAGCAAATCTGCACTGATGGGGAAGAAAGTACAGCCGCATGGCAAGACCTGCTACGTGAAACAGAAGACGCTATCACCCTTCGCCAGAAAGATGAAACCATTCAGCACACGGAAGTTTTTTGTTACGCCAGTCAAGATTTGGATGATAGTGTTGAAGAGACTGGCGCTTTGCAGAAAAATCCTTCCTCTGTCGCATCTAGCACCCTTGCCGAACCTCTGGAGTCTGCTTGCTTTGTTGAAGACAACCACTCAGTGGATATGACTAGTACCCTTGCTGAATCTTTGGACTCTGCTTGCTTGGTTGAAGACAGCCACTCATTGGATGTGACTAGCAATGAAATGCCTGCCAAACACACTCCAGATATTGATAGAGAGAGTTTACCAGAACTAAATGACGGAGAAGAAACCCTGGAAAAAGATCCTGATTATAGATCCAAAGCTTGTGATCACACAGTTCATACAGATGGTGATAAAGTTGAAAGTAAACCTGCAATAGAGGACATGATGGATCAACCAAAGAAGACTAGGATTACTTACTCTCAGATAGTCAAAGAAGGTAGGAGGTTTAATATTGATTTGGTGTCAAAGCTGCTCTATTCTCGAGGACTGCTGGTTGAGCTTTTAATCAAATCAAATGTCAGTCGATACGCAGAATTTAAAAATGTCACTAGGGTTCTTGCATTTTGGGAAGGAAAAGTTGAACAAGTGCCTTGTTCCCGAGCAGATGTTTTCAATAGCAAAGAACTGTCTATGGTTGAAAAAAGGATGCTAATGAAATTTCTTACATTTTGTATGGACTATGAGCAACACCCAGATGAATATGAAGCTTTCAAGCAATGCTCCTTTTCAGAGTACTTAAAATCTAAAAAACTAACCCCTAGCCTGCAACATTTTGTACTGCATTCAATTGCAATGATGTCAGAGTCATCTTGCACGACAATAGATGGCCTTAAAGCAACAAAAAATTTCCTTCAGTGTCTTGGCCGGTTTGGCAACACGCCCTTTTTATTTCCCTTGTATGGCCTAGGAGAAATTCCCCAGTGTTTTTGCAGGATGTGTGCTGTTTTTGGTGGAATCTATTGCCTTCGCCATAAAGTACAATGCCTTGTAATTGACAGAGAGTCTGGAAGCTGTAAAGCAATTATAGATCACTTGGGCCAGAGAATAAATGCTAAGTATTTTGTTGTGGAGGATAGCTCCTTAACTGAGGACATGTGCTCAGGTGTGCAGTATCAACAGATATCTAGAGCTGTGCTCATTACAGATGAGTCTATCCTAAAGACAGATTCTGATCAACAGATTTCTGTTTTGATCATACCTCCTGTAGAGCCAGGGACTTCAGCTGTCCGGCTCACTGAATTATGCTCTTCAACAATGACATGCATGAAAAATACCTATTTGGTACATCTCACATGTTCGTCTTCTAAAACAGCAAGAGAAGATTTGGAGTCAGTGGTGAAGAAATTATTCACCCCATATACTGAGACCGAGACAGGCGGGGAGGAGCCAGCAAAGCCGAGGCTCCTGTGGGCTCTTTATTTTAATATGAGAGATTCCTCAGGAATCTGCCGAAGTTCATATAATGGCTTACCTCCCAATGTTTATGTCTGCTCTGGGCCTGACGGTGGTCTTGGAAATGAGCACGCTGTCAAGCAAGCTGAAACTCTCTTTGGTGAGCTCTTTCCAGGTGAAGACTTCTGTCCACCACCACCAAATCCAGAAGACATTATCTTTAGTGATAAGGAACCAGAGGCTCCTGAGACCAGTAATACGGTAGTGGCTGAAAGAGAATCCTCTGAAGAAAGCAAAGTTCTAGAAAGTTCAGAGACGCTTCTTCAAAATTAAAGACCAGATTATGAGCTATGTTGTGACCTTCATCTTGGCATCAGAATATTCTCATTTAAAGGGCTGTTTGTCGAATGAGTAATTCTTTCAAAAAAGACTCAACTGCTGTCAAATGAGAACTGACAGCTGACCCTCCAGGTTTGCAGAGGCTATAAATCTTCCAGGAGGAGATCCTGTGGAACAGCTGGGAAATTTGAACCTTTGGGTTAGTACAGCTTTTCATGGACTATACCACCAGAGCTCCCTGTAGAAGTAATTAGAAGTTGTTAAATGCTAAATGCTATGCAGATAATTGTCTTTAGCTTTCTATGAACTCTTTAGACATCGAATGCCTTTGTTAATCTCTCAGTAGTTGATTCATTGGTTATATGATTGACTTTCCAAATGGGCTCCATGATCCAGAAATGTAAATAGTATTTTATATATATATAT